CATCGTAATTTTATGTGTGAAGTATTTTGTTATTGCAAAGTTTATCATGATGCGTGCTCAGAAAACGTTGCAAAAATTTATAATTGTAGATCTATTTCGTAACAAGTTGAAAATATGAATAGATTCTGAAAATAATCAAATAGTATGCCTGTAACACTTTTTCACTGTTTTTAATTTGTAAGCAACTTTCATATTTATTTATAAATTTTGCAGAAAAGATCAGTTGAATTTGCCCATGTTCAGTGTGGAACTTTTGGATCTTGAGCGAGCTTCCCTGTTGTTTGGTGATATCAGTTACTTTAACAGTCATGTAAAAAAATCTAAGTGATCCGTTTTACTGGCAAACCGTTCTTTACAATTTTCCGTGTGTGATTTCATCAGTAGAAGGTTGAAAAACAGTTACTGAGGAAATGTGTTCAAAGTTGTATATAATTTGAGCAAAGAAATTGATCATACTAAATATAAATTATTTTCTCATTCATTAGTCTACATCTGAAGAAAAACGATCTAGTTTTTTGCTTTTCGTTTGACAACTACTTTAACAGTGTATTTTCTTCTAGTAATTTCCTGATTAATTTTCACCGTAATGCTTTCTTAAAGCGTACGTGTTGTCCCTACTGTTTGTTTTTATGTTAGCAAAAGATTCTTTCTATTATACTTATTTTACATTATGTTACTTAGACCTTATTGCTTTCTTCTGCAATAATTAGTACAATAAAAAATATTTATCAAATCTGTGATGACTTGCAATGATATTTCTGCAACAAAGCAACAATTACATAAGCGAAGTGAATTTCAATTTCAATTTCAATTGGTGTCATATCGTAAAACTCTTAGAAGAAAACGTTCTCAGAAGCGTAATCCCAGTCTCTTCTGTCTTGTTTCGTAAAACTTTCAGAAATTTATAAATTGAATGACAGAGTACTTGGTAATGTAGAACTCGCTCAGTACTTTTTCAAGTATGAGAGAGTTTTTTCATTCTTCGTCTTTAAAGCATTTCAATATCTGATCGATCGCTCCAGTGATGCTCTTCTATCTAAACAATAGGATTTTAAAAAGCAGATGGTTTTACTGTCAACAAAATGCAAATAGTGCACTGAAACGTTACTTGAATGTGCGATGCAACTTAACTACAAGGTGGTATCGAAGATAGCACTAAGATTTTCTAATTGTTTGTATTTGCAACGATATCAATGTTAGTACCAAAATTTGTATTAACATTGGTATTGTTTCAAATATAATTAAATAGACTTCTTGTGACTGACTTGTGCAAGCTAAGTCTTCGAAGTTATAAAATGAGCGAGAGTGGAATCATATATTAACTCAGTGAATGATGGTAGGGAAGATCACTGCCATATTCCTTATAAGCAGTTTTAGATGCGAAGAAAATTGCGTGTAAAAATTATAACTTTTATTCTGAAAACAAAACAATAACATTCCGAGCTGTAATGATAGATTAGTATGAAATAAGTGATGAGCATGGAGAGATTTTCTGTTTATACATAGTACCTTCTGTTGCAGGAAAGTTTCTGTTGTAAGAATCACATACTGATGGTACTTCTGCTGGTAGTGCTGCTGGTACTATTGATGATGATGAGGGTGTAACTGTGGAATCGCAATAAGTACCAATAATATCAGTCGCTTCTAACTTTGATGCTGCAATTCGTGTTTTGAGATCAGGATTGATTATAAGGAAGTGAAAGCTTGCTGTAGTTGATAATTTATTCATACAAAAATGACAGAGATATGGCTGCGCTTTAAAAAATTGGAAAATTTCGAGAAATTTCGAGAAAACTTTCTACTGCAAGCTTTGAATAAGACTAATTTTGTGGTAAAAGACATTAAGCTGTGAGAAACTACAAATTCAACGTAAAATTAGCTAGAGTACTTTCTACTTTTGTCTGAAACCAAACAATTTTTTTACAAAAGCAAGATTAAAAACAAATCTTTTAGATATAATGATAAGTAATTCACTTACACATCTGAGATGAGTCAGAAGATGAATTTGTCTCTTCTTTGCTATTCCGTATAATTCTGGATATAGTGCTTATCGATGGAACATTATATCTTTGACATATTCCATTCTGCAGTAAGTTTTCACGAATCTCCCAAGCAAAAATATTTGGATGCTGACGTTTTAACAAAAGGACAAAATCTGCAACTTAAAAAAGCAACATAAATATTCTTTGGACATTAATTATGTATATATATATATAAATCAATAATCAATCAATTATATGTATACATGTATATATTTGGTAACAAATTATTTTTATATTTTAAATGAATAATTTCGGATAAATTTATTACTTAAAGCATTTAAAATTATGCATAAATTTGAAGAGAAAATATTAAATAATATGACTTATCTGAGGAGTTGTGACACGAGGTTTACAACGACGAACTGTAAATGGCATTACAGTACCATTTTTATAAAAACGTGCCAAAATTCTGCTAACACATCCATGGGTAATTTTAAGCTGCTTCGAGATATCACAAGTTCGTAGACCGTTTTGCATTAATTCAACAATCTGATAACGTACAGAAAGGGGAAGAGGACGTCCACTCTCATATCTACCACCAAGTTGATTGATTCCAACACTGCGTGCTTCTAAAATTTTACTTAAAAAACAATAATCTTTGTATAGCTTTAATCTTTTAAATCATAAAAATTAGCTAATTATTTATTTATTTAATAAAAAATATGACTTATATGAGTAATTTAAATTAGCTTATTTACGTGTGATTAATCCACGTGATTAAAATTTTTTTTAATAGTAAACAAAAAATGCTCATTTTATTTAGCATCTAATATAATAAGACTAATTTATTAAAAATTAATAGAAAAAAAAGACCTTTGAACTTGATTACTGAACTTATATTGACAATAAATTTGGCTTAATCACATGTAAATAAGTTAATTTAAGTTACAAACATAGAAAATAGAAGAAATGATAAACTTAGCAATTAGTTAAGCACAAAAGCAAGTTATCCTAAGCAGATTAGAAGCTTACTAGGCTTTTCAGATGTTTTTTCAGCAGCTTCTAGCTTGGAATCGGACCGGCAGCAATGCATTGAGGTCAAGTCGTTACAGAAAGTACACGGTTGCTGTGAGGAACAATATGTCATCAATCATCGCGTGCTGACTACTGCATTTAAAACAACCAATCCCGCCGCTATTGGGATGGTAGTTTGCTTGTGGTGGGAGGGAAAATGCCACTGACTTACTTTTATGTCAATTCAATCTTTTTTCAGTTCAACACTAAAATCATTCTTTCTGCTTTCTTTTAATGAACAAATAATAAATTATAATCATTTTATATAATTTAATGTTGAAAAAATTTTTTCATGTAAAGGTATGAAGTGAGTTCACGTAAAGGTGTGAAATGAGTTCACGTAAAGGTGTGAAATG